GATGTCTCCCCCTGACTACAGCATGGCACCGTCCTACAGTCCTGAGTACGCCAATGGCGCAGCCGGGCTGGACCACTCCCATTACGGGGGTGTCCCGGGAAGCGGGGCCGGAGGCTTGTTACAACGGCCTGTTAAGCGGAGGGGGACTGCCAACCGCAAGGAGAGGCGCAGGACTCAGAGTATCAACAGCGCCTTCGCCGAGCTCCGGGAGTGTATCCCCAACGTGCCCGCCGACACCAAGCTCTCCAAGATCAAAACCCTGCGGCTGGCTACCAGCTACATCGCCTACCTCATGGACCTGCTGGCCAAGGATGACCAGAATGGGGAGACAGAGGCCTTCAAGGCAGAGATCAAAAAGACAGATGTGAAGGAGGAGAAGAGGAAGAAAGAACTGGTCAGTACAGCATGGCATGCCGACAGCAACAATGTATGGCAACATTAAACCACATAGTAAAATATTACTCACTATTTATTTTCTCCAAAAAAAATGTGCAGAAATGATTATGGTTGTGTAAATATATATTTACTTAACATTTTATTATTATTATTATTATTATTATTATTATTTTGATGTCGTGATTTTATATATATTTTTTTATGACTTTGGCTACCACATTCCAACATTCGAAGCTAGAACTATTAAATGTTTAATATATAAAATGACTTTAGCATTTAGTCTGATAATTCTTCAGTCAGTTTACCAGGGCATGTGTTTACAAACTTAGGATAGGAAAACATGAAACCATATATATTGCAAAAGTTATAAAATAATTCATCTAAAAGTTGATGAAAGTTACTGCATATTATACAATCAACTTTGGGGATATATTTATATAATAATAGATTTATTTATTGATAAAAGACGTAAATTTAACAAAATTACCCTTTAGCGATAAGAAGATTGTAATATTTAAATTCAGCAAAACAAGACTTTTTTAACTTTATTTTATCTCGTAATAAATTATGAGTACACGTCTTTGGGGTGTACCGTTTACAATCTTTTCTTTGAAAATTATTCAGAAACCGTCTAGACATAATTTCATTATTTTTGATGGTAGTATATATAATATATGTATTTATGTTGACATGCATAAAAAATGCTTTTAGTGGAAATTGCTTCTGTAAAGTTACCATGCAAGGGGAAAAAAATCAGTATATTTATGAAGGTGTGCTATTTACTATTTAACTTATTTTGTATATTATATATAGAGTGAGTGACAATAAGCAGGAAAAAAAAATTATAATGTTCATTCGCCGTAGAATTCCTTTCCATTTTCAAACATATATGGGTCTTATTTACCAAATAGTCAAGGGTTACGAGTTTCAAATAATGTTAATGTGATACTTGTCTTATTAACAACCGGAAATACGTGGGGCCTACACACTAAACTAGATTGTAAAATCAACTTGCAGAATGACTGACAGAAATTAAAAGCAAAAAATGTCTTTGTCCAGTATGAACTTTTTTCCAGATAAGCAATTTTTATTAGTCGTAAGCATTTCATAAATAAACCCCTCAAGCCAAAGTATACATAACCTTGGCCTACGTATATATATTTATATGTGTATGTGTGTATATATATATATATATATATATATATGTCTATATAATATTATTATTATTATCATCAATATTATATTCTGTAGGTTATAGTATGTATAATTCATTATCTCCTGTCCTCCACAGAAGTTAAATAAATAAAAATATTCAGAAAACTGATTAAAAAAAAAAATATTTGAGAAACATCAATCATTTTGAAATTGGGGCAAGGAGTATATATTATTGTACATATGTGTGTGTTTCTATAATGTGCTTGTATTATCTTGTTGTTGGATTCAAACCTATTATTCAGATTTTCTTAATGGTCTCTCCTAACAGAATGAACTTTTGAAAAACACAGTTAGCGGCAACGATAAGAAGACTAAAGGCAGGACTGGGTGGCCACAGCATGTCTGGGCTCTGGAGTTAAAACAGTGACGCTATGGACTGCAGTAATGAAGACTCAATCAATATGCACATATATATGTGTGTGTGTATATATATGTGTGTATATATGTCCTGAAAAACTATGTATATGGAATCGTCCAGTTTATTTATGTGCAATTTCCCTCCCTACCCCCAAGCACCCCTAAAATGTGGATTTGTGAAGACAAGCATTCCATTAAATGAAGAAAAACCTGCAGGTTGGTTTTAAGGGCTGTTTGTGCTGTGTAAAAGTTTATGAATGTTACAGTATTTCTCTGTATGTTCTAACATCAAAACATCAAGAAAATGACTCCCTGGCATTAGTATGTATGTGAAGTTTCTATTTTCTTTTTTAAGTGATTTTTGTTTTGTTTTGTTTTTTACCGTTTGGGTTTTTTTTAAGGGGGTTTTGTGTTTTTTTGTGTGTGTGGGTTTTTTTTATTCCTTTGTTTTCTGGGTTGTTTTTTTTTTTTTGTTTTCTTTTTTTTTTTTTTTCAATTCTTTTTACCATGGCCTCAGTATGCATAGTGCAGAAATTATAATACACACTATTAATGATCCCAGGCTGCCTATGATGAAGCATTTCTCGTTGGAGAGGCCTGCAACGTGTTGAAGAGTGCTCATTTGAGTGTTAGAAAGCCTGTAGTATAGGGAAATCATATTTAACCCCTTCAGTACCAATGACATGTTGGTATTTTCATGCTAACAAGCAAGCCTCCTAAACTTTATCTCTATGGCGTTAATGTCAGGTGTTTTGTGGTTGTTAATCTTTATTTCTTTTGTTTGTTTGTGTTTTTGTATGTTTTATTTTTATTTTTTATTTTTATTTTTACATATTTTTTTTCTTATTATTATGTGGTACGTGTTCATTATTTGAAGGTGTCTTTGTTGTTGTTTTTTTGTGCACTTCTGTCAGGGAATGTGGAGTTTAATTAATATTTGAAGGTGTAAAACTTTGTAAGTGATCAATAAACCACTGAGTGTTTTTGTATATGTTGGTCACACGAATTCATTAATTTTACATATTTCAAACCTATATTCTGGCTCACTTCCACTTTCCTAGAAACTGTTTGTGTGTATGTTTGTGTGTTTGTGTTTATAGACATAGATTGGATTGCATACTACAATTATTGTAAGTCTTTTTATTGGAGTAACATTAAATTTTAATAACGAATTTGACCTACAGCCTTCCTAACAATACAAGATGTTATATTAAGCTCAGCTCTCTGGGGGGAAAAAATGTAATGCAAGTTAAAACTCATTTACTAATGTTCGTTTATTTAAATTCATATTTAGCAGTATACGCACAAACATAGTGTTATGATTCATGAAGCTTGTGTAAGTGGATCAGTTGTATAAGTTAATACATAGACGAGTACAAGAAAAGGTTGTTTTTCTGGCAGGGTCTATTCACTATACAAGGTGTATACAACCAATCGACTTGCTAATATTAGACGTAATTTGCAGAGCAGGAACAGATTTACAGTTAAGCAGAAATCGATCTCTATCAACTCTGTTAGTTTAGTCTCAATTTGTTTTTGCAGAATCTCTGCTCCCAGCAGCTTAGTTTAGTGAGTAACACACAGTATTCTTGCCCTTATTAGTTATTGATGATCTAAATAATACAGTAACTTTGTATCTGTAGTTCTCCACCCACTGAGCAGTACAGGAAGGCTTATTGCATGCAGTGTTAGTGCAGAGCTTCACACTGATCTGCAAAGGCTGCAGATATATAAATGGACAGGCTGCAAGGGCCTGACAGAAAGTATTGACCTAAGTCTGGTGTACACCCACTTTGTATTTTTGATGCTGTGTAAAAGATCAGCTCAGTGCCTCCTAGACAGAGCATTTAAGCCTTAATAAGAAAAGGAAGAGGCTGATAAGCAGTTTGTTTTAGTTTGATCACCAGGATTTAACCCATTGAGTGCAGCACCCTCTGTCAAAAATGCTTTTAGATAGGATTCTGTTCACAGACTCCTAGAGGCCTTGTCCTAACGAGCTGCTGTTTTCTTAGCATTACTTTAGCTGGGAACGTGTGGGTGGATGTGCACTGGAGCTATAAAAAGATAAGACGATCACTCCTTCCAGGTCCCCATGTGTAGGGTGAGGGGTTAGGACAACTCTGCCAGTGAGTCCTGCCCTTTCTGCCAGAGGTCAGGGCCAGGGGCTTGCTGTGGGCTCTTCTACATAGACACTTGCTTTTGTTTACAAGCCCTCAGCTGGATTTGCTGGGCTGGCCAGGGGATATTTTAGGAAATAAATATAGGAAGATAGAAAGACAATGTTACAGTATACTTAAAGAGAGAGTTAGAGAAAGCTTAACCCGCAGAGCTCCATAGATATTTAAGTGTATGTGTGTGTGTGTGTGTGTGTTTGTTTGTTAAACTGAGGTGTTTTTGCTCTGTGCTCTGATTTATAATTTTAACTTTAAAACATCGCTAAACAGTGCCATTCTGTTCTCTGTATAAGATGTATGTATATACAGAGTGAGAGATTAAACAAAGTTAGAGCACTAAGTTAGATAATTATCTACATATTTATTCTGTGATGCACATGCCAATTTAAAATTATTATATAACTACACATATTCGTGTAGATGGATAGAATGAATAGATAGATAGATAGATTGTTCTAACAAAGAAATCTGTAAAATTGGTAAAATATACCCATTTCCCTATTTATTTATTTACTTATTAAATTATTTTTATTTCTTTATTTTACTTTACTTGTCTTTGCTTTTGTATTACAGCTTCTAACGCATATGAGAAAACATGATTTAAGGATATTACTTATTTAAACATTGTGAACTATGTGATACACGATGATAAATATATGCTTGTGTGTGTATGTGTGTATAATCACCTTCATCAAATAAGTTGTGTAATACATATCATTTAGTATTATTATAGATTTAGATTTGTATAAAATAGTTTATTTATATATCTAATACAGTATTACTAACTCACTTTCTCTACTTTTCAATTTATTTCTCTTTATCTCTATAGTTATACATTCACACAAATGTAGATAGATAGATAGATAGAGATTTATTTCACTGTGTATATTATTATTGAACCTTAACAGACCTAACACAAGAAGAAGGGGGAAAAAAGCTATATTTTTATTTTAAGATCTTTTTCTCACCATACTAAGCCACTAATTACTCTGCTCTGTAGTTGTAAAATAAGCAACATGTAGGGTCTCTGGAGCAGAGCTTTTTTGCCCTCTCCTAAATATGATATAATGCTGCTAACCTTCTGATTGCATGAAAAACCCTGCTGTGAGTACAAATTAAAAGCTCACCCTTAAGCAGAAGACTTTTAGTAGTCTCAGTGCTTTGCCAGCTAAGGAAATCTTTTTAATTACTCTGTAATGTGGATGTTGCCTTTTTTCTACAGAGTAATCACTCTCAGAGTAAATCTCAAGAGTCCTAGACAGGCCGGAGCCAACAAAAATGTAGTATTTGACGTTAAAAGCTAAATGCTGAAGTGGAGCTGTATAGGGGAAATTGATTGGTAGATTGGGATGTCAGTGCTTTGGCCTCTGGTCGCCTGGCAGAGTTAGCCCACACTTTGATAACACCAGCAATCTTGAACCAGAAGTCTGAGAATCTGCAATAATCCTCCCTATACCTTTTGCAGGGCCCCAGATGGGAGCCATTGGCCTTCAGCCTCGCTATAATATATCTCACATTATTAGTATGTGGATTGTGTTATTGTTGTATTGATTCTGACGATTGGATTGTCCAGAGAGTTCTTTGAATTAAATAAAAGATTCAATTTATATACATATTACAATGTCTTGATTTGTGGACCCAGGACATACTTGAAAACGAGAGAAATCTCAATGTATCTTTCCTGGTAAAATATTTTATAAATAAATAAATAAAAATAAATAAATGTCTGCAGTTAGTGGCAAGTTCAAACGTGTTCGATCAGCATTATTTATATTTATCTACTCTTATTCGATGCAAACGTTTTGTTAGAAGCTGCAATGGAATTAGATCAAAGATATAAATGACACATCATGTTGATACAAAGGCTGTGTGTCAGCCTCAAAAGTTTTAGTCAATACATTTGTTAATATTTAATGATTAGTTTACAGGCAACAGAACTTCAAAAATAAAAAGATTTAATTATTTCCGAAGATGGGGTAAATATTATCCCACCTTAAAATACGATATAAGATTTAGGTGTTTTTTTTTTTCCTAAATAAATAAAATCCCAAGGGGTTTATTCACTAAACATTAGCCATAGGAGAATCCACTGAAACATTTAGTAGAAACTCGTAGAAATGTTAAATGAAGCATTTAATTAACCCTCTGAATAAATTAAGTAAAACAGTAACTTTACAGGACTGCTCTAAGTCAAAAACTACATTGTATTACTAAATTCTGCATATCATTTAATATTTCTGGGATATAGTCTTTGCACAGCAAATTTGGCATATTTAGGGGGCAAATGGTGATAACTAGATTAATATAGTGGAGTTAGGTAAATATATTTGTTTATTATTTTCAATTCGGCTCATCTGGTTAAATTTCAAAGCTCGCCAGAGCTTATTTACGTAGACATCCCTGTGACTTTATTTTTATATGTGTGTGTATGTGTATGTGTGTGTGTGTGTGTGTGTGTGTGTGTGTGTGTGTTAATGTGTATGTATGTATGTGTGTGTATATATATATATATATATATATATATGTATATGTATATATGTATATGTATTTAACAACTATAATACATATATATAAATAAGTATATATAAATAAGTATAACAAAGCTATATACATATAGCTAACAAGTAGAATAAATGAAGAAACTTTTTTTAAATCTATACCCCTGCTGCCCTGCTGATAAGGGTGAAAGTGGAGTCTCATAATGTAGTCAAAATAAAGGTTGAAGTAGATGAGATTTCCTCCAGTGACACAATCTGTGCTGGAGAGCCATGATTTCATCGGCCAATGCTTTGCTGATAAAGCCCTTTATCTCCTTTCCTAAACAGAGACATTGTTATGAAATGAGCGCTCAGTGCATTGATACGGTGGCTGAGGGACCATTAGCAGATCTCTCCCATTTGTCTTGCGGTAAGCTGGAGCTGTCACGTATAGCATGCTAGGCACATTCAAATCTGGAGCACTTTAGTTTTTTTTTTTTTTTTTCCATTTTCTTCTTAGTCTACACTTAGGAAGAAATAAAGGAAAAACCAGTTCGCACATATTTCTAGACATCTCTGATGCCCCCTCCAGTGGGTAATTATTGCTAATTTGTTAACATTGTCAAGATGGGGTCAGAGAGATAGATTTAATGACTGTGTCTTTAAAATGAAGGTGATCATTGGTAAAGTCGTTTATGCCCCGGGGCGCTAAAGAACAAAAACAACAACAAAAAATAATTTTTTTGGGAAAAAAAAAAAAGAATCTCGTTTTCTTTCTTATGTTTAACTGGAAAAAAGAATGATCAAATTTGATTTTAGGGAAGAGATCTGAATCCGATATTGAACGCCTGGTATTTCATTCGAAGTAATTTGCTTTGTGTTACAGATACAGCAGGTAATTATCCTTAGAATAACAGGGCTTAATCTCATTAGTGTTTTAGCCAGCATTTAGCAAACAGCCCTTTAGGAGAGATTTCCTAACACAAAAGACAGCAGCGTGCCTGCCACTAGACTGCCTATCAAAGCTCATTGTACAGCGAGGCAATGGTTATACTGTAGCAATGTTACTGACACTTCCTGCAAATAGAGGAGGTTTTTTATTCTTCTCCATTTAACCCATTCAGAGCCAGAATGGGACTAAAGATATAATTTCTTGTAGTAAGACATGCCTTCGTTTCTGAAAGGGTTAAACACACTCCTAAATTAGATTTCAGGCGGATCTCACTTTATCAAGAGAAGGAGAGATAATGTCAAATTTCAAAGTATTTTATTATAAGTATAGAGAATACATTAACTCTTTGGGTAAGTGTCCCTGAAAAGGCATTCACAACGTGCTCAGAAGAAAAATAAAAATCACACAAACTACTACAGTATTTAGTTTCTTAACGTAAACTTTGATCACTTAATGTTGGCAACATATTGCTGTTATGCATCAGGTTTTAGGCCTAGTATGGGGTAAGCTTTCCAAGGGCTTATATTTTGCTTTGATGAACAGATCTTGTAGTTCTGATTACTTTAAGAAAAGTCTTCATTCCTGGGCAGCCTATAAGTTCTTACATGTGCTATTCCTGCCATCTGGGAGTGATTACTGGCCAAGTCCCTCCCCCCTTGGTGCTGGCTGTATCTTAGCTGAGAGCCTATAGACACGTTGACGTCAGATCAGACGGCTAGGAGCCATCCTGCTCTTGACTTGGGTGTAATCAGCTCTCTCTGCTCTATAGATTGGGCTTCTCTTCATTCCTTCAGCTGGAATGCGGATGCTACAGCACAGTATTCAACAAATATTTTCAACCGATATGATTTTGCTTTTTTGGCTTTCCAAGCCAACAAACATACATTCCCCAAACCCTCCCTCACCCCCTCCCCCCCATGCTTCCCTGGGGGAATAGATCAGTCCTTTCCATACGGAACACAAACACAAAGTGATGGATCTTGCAACATCAACGTTCTTTTTATGTATTCCAATAAGTGGCTGACATCCAAGGCAAACACTGAGCTTTATAATGGCCAACAGCAAACTGTTAAACAAAGTGAAACTTTTATGATAATTCCTGTTTAGGGAAGATGTGTTTCTAATCATCACAAGCCGATCTAGGTTAGTAATTATGCCAGCAGACACGCAATGCGATAGATATGAGGAAGAGGAGGAGGATCTCTGAGCTCTAAGCTTCAGCCTGGCTTTCTGCACCTGCTCCAAATCCCATTAGAAGCTCACTCACTGCACACCCCACCGAATCACATACTGACTGCTGGAGAGGGGAAGGGGATATACTGAATATCAGGGTAATGTCCCATGTTCCTCTGCACACTAGTCACAGACAGTGCATAGATAGACACACACGCACATAGACACGCATATACATACATATATACAGTAACATACACACACATACAGTAAATAACACACACGTGTGTTTGTGTGTGTGTGTGTGTGTGTTTATGAGGAAAAGGAGGAGGGAAAATCAATCTATGAGCTCTAAGCTTCTGTATTTGTGTGTGTGTGTGTGTGTGTACAGATACACACATACATACATATACAGTTCAATACACACGCAGATATTCACACATACATACTTAGTTGCTTTTAAAGTTACAAACACATAATACAGTTATAAACATAGATACATATTCACACATTCATGTAGATGCATACATATATGCATACACAATTACACACAAAGAGATACACACATTTATATATTTACAAAGATTTTTGGAACTTTACACACGAATTCACATATAGCTACATAGTTACAGAAGTAAGTTATATAATCACACGCAATGATACGTAAACAATGGCTGATGTACACACACAAATAGACAGTGATACATATGCAATTACACACAAATCCACATACACAAATAGATTCATATTCAGTGGAACCTAAGCACACACACACACACAAATACACGTGCACACTTCTAGCTAACCAAATAGTTAGAAGATTAGTTATTTTCTCTCAAATAGTAGAAGAGAAGAGTTATTTTCAATGTCCATGAATAGTTCCTGCCTTTAGGCTACTTCTAACAAATACACACAAACACACACACACACACACACATTCTGATCGCTGTACACACAACATGTAAGGTCACTGGACATAAGGAGAACAACAGTATGATTTGGTCACTAGAATCCAATTAAAAATCCGAATCACAAAAATTATGGAATAAACTTCAGGCTGTCACTATAGCTGAGTTTAAGAATATTTGACAAATCGGCACTTATTCGCCTAAACTTTGCCATGCAGTTTATAATTGACTACAATTCGATGTTTAGTAAATAACAACTCTTTTGTGTGATTAGCGGTTTTAGCGTCTTCTCTCTCTCTCTCACACACACACACACACACACACACGCACATAAACACACACACGCGCGCGCGCGCACGTTTCTTGCCAACTAGTGACTGAAATAGTGTTATATTCTTTGTCTATTATCATTGATGTGATTTAGTATTCTTCGAAAACCATGCACATCTACATAAGTAAATAGGCATAGATTTGTTGAATAAATATCTTTTATCTAGCCAATCCCAAACAAAGGTAAACTACATATTCATATTTAATACAGAGACTCCACTGAAAAGGATGCTATTACAGTTTATTTTAACATAGAGTAAAAAAAAAAAAGAAATGTCAGATTTTTCGTGCATGTTAGCTCAATTAAAAATGCATAAAACAATAAAGGGCAAATTAGTTTCAATAATGAAAATAGCACATTCGATACTTTGCCATCATGTATTTTCCCTCAGAATATTTACAGAAAAACTCAGCACCTCTCTCATTTTTGGACCTAACCACAGCGTGAACTGTTATGTTTTGCTTGAAGTACTCCTCTCTTACACATTGTCTGGATATTCTGTGCAATGCCTAATTGCTGGGCACTTTTATTTATTTCATACTTTAATGAGCACACATTGTTTTTCTGCATTGGTTTTATCCTCAATCTTAATTGCAACTAAAGGGCATTTAAAGGATGGATAGATTAATAGATTAGATAGATAGATAGATAGATAGATAGATAGATAGATAGATAGATAGATAGATAATTTTAGTACCACAATTTATCTGTGAAAGGTAACTCTTACTTTCAGAATTTGTTCTGCACTTTGGTGGCTTTTCCCAAGCAATCTACAATAAAGTCTGATTCTCTTTGTCATGTAGTAAACAGATAATTGTATCCTCCAGTACAGTCACACCAGATAGATATCTATCAGCATAGATAGCACTGGGGAATTTAAACAGCAATAAAATTCATCTCTTGCAGTGCAAATCTAGTGTAAAATGAGCATTAGTACTTTGCTGGAGATTTATTGAGTGAGCAAAAAAAGGCACAATCTGTTGTTAGTATCTTATTTGCCAAAACCCAAGTTTGTTATCAAATTTATAAGCAGTTAAAGACAACTTTCAAAACAACCACATATACAATTACACCAATTAAAATATATATAAAATGTAACTTCTGGAAAATATTTATGGCAGTTATTGCAGAACATTTCCCAAAATTGCTATTCAATTTGATCAAAATATTCTTATGTTCCATGCGTGATCACAACCCCCTGCAGTACTTTGATGACATAAACTCCAGAGAGGTATATATTTGTGTTTTATTCCTGGAAGTATTATGTTGTGAATAGTGCAAGTGTGATTTTGCAGGTCTCCAGTCTGCGTGATTAAACAGGGTATACTTGCTGGAGCTGTATATAGTGTTGTGTGGAATATCATGTCTATGCCCCTATGGTGGTGCTGTCAGGGTGACAGATACCAGATGGAACAGCTACTGTATGTGAGATTGAGTTTCTCAGCAGAAAAGTCTTTGCCTCCCCTCTAAACGTCTTCAAAAAGCTTCTCCTGATACTGCTGATCACTTCCACCAAACCAAAAATGCTGCAGACTGTTAGGCGATATCCCTCGCTCCTTCTCGTGTTTTGGGGGTATTTACCATGGTATTGCTGACTGTACCAGTCCTCAGATTGGGGTTAATGCTATCATCTGTTGGCTCCCAGTGGCCCCTGTCTGACTCGCCCATACGACTTGTTCCAGACTACAGAGTCAGAAAGGTACAGACTTCATGTCTACACTTACTGGTAAGTGAAAACACATATATTTATATATATATATATATAGGTGATATATAGGTGTATATATATATATATATATATGTATATATATATATATATATATATATATTATAAGTATGGTTATGTGTCTATATGAGTATATACATATATATGTTTGTTTATATATTTATATTATATATAAGAGATATGTCCACGTTTATTGGTTGAATATAATTAATATAAAGTGATCTGAAGTCTGCATCACTCCAGCATGAATCATTGTGCAATTGGAATAATTACCAAGTCTATCAGCATACTGTAATTGCAGACGTATACGATGCTATTTACTCTAAATAACTGGATGGTAACTAGTCGATGTCAGAATAATTAGAGTAAGTATTCTAGGTTGACGTATAACACAAAAAAAAAAATCATCATTGCTTTTGAAACGATGCATTATTCTAGAATACTGGACTTTAGAAGACTTTATATATATATATATAAATATAATACATATGGAATATAAATGCCTCCCATATTGATACGTTGGCAAACGAAAGTAAAAGGGAAAATAGAATAAACTCCCAACCCAAATTCATCAAAATGCTTTCAGCCTAAATGCCTTTTGCAACGCTGCATCCGTCGGCCATAAGGCCTTACCTCTAGGCACACTAGGCTTAAGAATAAGCGCTGTCTCCCACTACCCAAAACTAAATTCCCTCACTTCCTGGTCCAATGCCAATCGATACTATACACCCTATTATGATCTACCGCAGGCATAGGCAACGATCTGCACTCCAGATGTTTAGGACTACACATCCCAGGATGCTTTGCCAGCATTATGGGTGTAAGAGCATTATGGGGGATGTAGTCCACAACATCTGGAGTGCCGAAAGTTGCATATCCCTCATCTACCGTATGTGACTGTTTTTCGATATGCATAAGTTGTTTTTCTTCTGTAACGGTTTTATTGAGACTATGACCTGAGTCAAAAATAAAGAATTAAAAAAAAAAAATCATTAAAATAAATATTTTTTGGGGAGAAATTAAATGCAAACTCTGTAAATATATACCGATTTATTATATGATTCAACGTTTGAGCAAAAACACATACATTGTAATATAAACTTATATAATTATTAAATGGTTCCCTATGTTACAAATATATAGTTATATAGTTACATATGTAGGAATATACATATGTAAATATTAGTATTTTTATTGTATGAATACAGTTCATTTAATCATTTCATGTATATTTTATCTTTTATATGACTAGATACAGTGTACGCATGGAAGTGAGCGTGTGTTAGATTATTAAACGTGTTATATTATGAAATATATTAATGGAAACATTAAAATATACAGCAGCACACCACCAAATAAACTTTGACCTATTAGATGACGCTGTCTGTAGCTGAGACCTGATGCTTAACAGCTTTACAAATATCATCAATGTACATTTCCTTTTTACACCAGATTTTGTTTGGAGAAGAAACCACCTTTAAATCCTTCCTTTCTTAGCAGAGCTCCCTCGGCCAGCTTTCTGTACCCAGGAACATGCAGTCCACACAGATGTTAAATACCTGAGCTATGTCACCTACATCTCGCCCTGTGCATGCACCACACCCTGACAACACTACGCCATTGGCTCTATTTACTAAACTGCGAGATGAAGAGAATTGAAACCCAGCGATTGGTGTTTAAGATAAAATAGTGGAATTGGTTGGAAAATCCCCTATTTGGTCCGGTTGGAGTTTTTAATCAGCTCATCTATTTGCGAGTCAGTTCTCAACTCGACACAAGTCGCTGTTTAGTGAATACGACCCCAAATTTAGCCCTCTCAGCGCAGGTGAGAAACATCTGAGGTTATCTGAGCCATCTCGTGTTTTTCTGGTAAGGAACCACTAATGGTGTGAATCCTAGACCTCGTAAGATTTAGATTTTAGGATAAAGGTCTGCATTTTCTGCCCATTCAACTGCCATAAACTATATGACTTTTAAATCGCCTTCTCAGACTACACTCAGGGCTGTTTGAGACCTAATTTAAAAAATGTGTTTTGTTTTTTAACCTAACCCACACAAAGAACTGGGAGATTTAAAAAAAAAAATACAAAGCATCAAATTAAATGGCAGTCTGTATTAGAAGCATAATTATGACCCTGCTTGCTCTAGAAAGCCTCATGTGGGGAGCTGGGAGCCATGGGTATAATGCAGGACAGACCTCCCAAGTGGTTGTGCCCTGGGTGTCACAATCAGGGACTCAGCACTCTGTCCATTCCTGCCATAGACTGGGAAATCTCTCTCTCAGTGACACCAGCTTAATGGGGCATGAAACAATGTGTAAACGGTTACAATGTGTCCCACTAGAAATCTGTGTACTGTGTGCCTCTAAACTAGAGTATATATTGCCCATCATTATACTAATTAGACAAATATACAGACACTCAATATTCTCAGCATTGGAATCTCAATATTGAAATATTGAATTATTTACTGTGTTTTTCTAGAAACTGGATATTTGATACACGCATATTACATATATTACATTATTATTTATACACGCACATATACATTCTAAAATGACACAGTTTTCAGGAATACAATTTCTCAAGAACCAACATTTCTAGAATCTGTGATACATAGCCTCATCCCTCCCTGCTAACCGTTAGATATCTAGATCTCTTCATTTATTGACTTAATTTTTCTTCACATTCACACATCACAATATCGAGTCACTTCGTTACATAATGAGTATGTGTACATATATATAAATATATACAGACACATAGATAGACAGACAGGACAGACAGATAGATAGATAGATAGATAGATAGATAGATAGATAGATAGATAGATAGATAGATAGATAGATTTTCTAACAAACAAATCAGCTGACATTTGTAAACTTGGTAAAATATACTTTTATCAAACTCACATGGTTTCCCTATCTATTTATTTTTTATTTAAAAAAAAATGTTTGTTTTTTTTACTTTACCTACATTTGCTTTTATATTACATTTTATATGTTATATTATATATGAGCAAACATGATATAAGGGTATTACTTACAGTGTATTTTTCATTACATTTTAAAAGTTGAGACAAATGCCGGTGAACATATTGTACCTTATTAATAGGTATAACTCTGTTTCAAGTATATATATAATAATTATATATTCCCTACAATATAGGGTCTGCTTAGATTACCATTGTTTCTGAGTAGTCATTTTGCTATGATCCACATGTGAAATCCGCTGCGTCTAATGTGAAATGCGGATACATTGCGTCAAATCTTTGAACATTGCGTCGCTATTTGGTGGCGCAATATATTAAATAGCACTTGTATTTGTGCGAATAATGATAGGATTATGCTTCCAACTTATATCTTTTCAGAAGCAAAAATGCAATGTTCTCCTCCCACTGGAAGTTAGTGAATTCGGTTTAAACTCTAACTAATATTTAGCACTAAATAAGATGGACATATGTGTAACATAGGGATCCATTTAATGAACACCAGGAGTGAGACAACCAATTAAAACCAAATTAGCAAACTTGGAAATCAAACCTAAAAAAATAATGTAAAAATCTGAAATTCTAATTTTTTTTAGATTCAAGATACTACAATACACGGTTTTGTGCCCCAACAGCAGATGTGTACGATTTGTAATTCTATTGTAGTTATAGTAACTATTGTTACAAGTATCGTTGCAATGATAAGGTTTTATTTTCTAGTTAATGTAAAATCCATGTATCATAAGAACCCATCATTTTAACACACACACATATAGTGATGCAAGTCATTCCTGGAATATAATGCACATTTCATTCCCCCAAATTATATGTATGTATTGTTTTGTGATTATATATAATTCGATCCTCTATCAATACATAAAACATAGGTTATTCAAACATCCACCCCACACACTGTGCATTGCTCCAGACCTGTGCTTGGTTATTGCAGGATCTCTTTTCGAATTAAAGTCAATGCAACTTATCGCCAGATCCAAAATTTGATATGGAACCTTTAAATCGGGCATCCTGGCTCCATCTAATAGCTATAATGGGCTGTTATTTTTACTAAACGTTTAGGACTGACATATAGTGACCTTTGACTCAATTAAAATCATTTTGTATCATCCGCAGAGTAGAAAATGGAGCACAAGCTCAGGGGGTTTAGCACATGTATGATGGATCGTGTGCCTCACTCACTATCATGTGGAGATCATGTTTTCACATCACTGCTTTTATGCACATTTTATAATTTGGAAACAAATCGCTGAAATCCAGACAGCTCCCTGGATCAGTCAGCTAGCAGTATATTTACATTTCTGGAGAGATGCAAGTCCTTAATCTATCAATTTGATACAATAGGTTCCTTTTAGAATCTGGTGTAATAAGACATATACATTATTGCTACATCATAAAACAATAGCGATTGCTACTTCAGAGATTATTTTCTAAAGGCATTTTCCTCTAGAGCCATTCCTTCTGTTTCCACTGCTATATTGATGATTTTTTTTTGTTTAACTGTCTCCCTCCCACACTGCTGCACGTTCAAATCCTGTCTGACCCATCTCTCTTTCTCTATTTATATTTTTTTTACTCACACAATCACACCACATATGCTATTTACCCTCCTTGCACACACTCACACAAAGACAAACCAGGGTTCTATTAATTTAACCTCATAAAGGCCAATACAGAATAATTAAAAATATATATATATATCAATCAATTCCAGAAGTTTTGTGTTACCATTCGATCATGTCTTTCTAAAGAACAGATCTCCTTCTAAACGGCTAGTTCAGCTGGGTTACCCTCTCATGCTAGGGATATAAAGTATACTAGTGCTGGGATATACTAGTGTTGTGTATTTAAGCCATTTAAAGTGACATGCTTTACAGTAACCCATAGAATGCAACAGTAGAATAGTATAAAAATATAATCCTAATAAATGCAAGATTTAAACATGCAAGATTGTCATGTTTACATGGCTAAGCGATTTCCAGTAACTATAAATTAATCTTTGAATAATACCATGCACAATGCAATATATTTACTTATAATTCTATTTTACTATTTTAACCATGTATTGTTCATTTAAGTTTGAAATGCAATATCTGCCTTAAGAGAGGTTTGATTTTTTTTCAGTGGTGTTCAGTTTAACCCCCTGGATGCCAACAAAACCACACGCACTAGAGCTTTAAGTCACTTTTTTATCTTTCTCATAGAGTATTTTATTTGTCTGCTTTTTTCATAGCAGTTATATCTGGAAATGAAATAAGCTACTAAAATTATGAGGCTATTGTTATTGTTGTAGTTAGTCTAGTGATGGCGTCACCCCCAGGCTCAGGTTCTTAATAACACCAAGGAAATGATCATAAGAGGCTGTTATGTGTGGTAATATCAGTTTTATAGATAGGAGCATTAAGAGAGGAGAGATCTGTTGTTAATACCCATTGATAATGAATGGAAGGCCATCTCATATTATTGTTGTAGATCCATTATATATAATATAATAGATATATAAAAGTTCAATACAAAATGTGTCATAATTTAATCAGTTGATATTTGTCATATCAATATTAAAAACATGTATTATGAGCCTGTTGCTGGGAATAAATGACACAATAATAATAATAATAATAATAATAATAATAATAATAATAAAAAAGTAATTTTTTTTTACAACTTTTAAAGCATGCAAAATCACCTATCGTATATAAGGAAATGTATATGTGACAAAACGGCCACACAAGGCTTAGACTTGCCCTGACACAAAGTACCAATTTTGTTTTGGCAGATTCTAACAGAATAATTATTTTGATGGGATTCTAAACAAGTAATTCGATGTTACCCGTTAATTAATTGAAATACATTCCCATTTTCGAGGCTGAAAAAAAATAAATAAATGAAAATTGAAATGTTATAAAATTAATGAGAATGTTGCAGCAATAGACAGACATGTAATAAATCTAATATGAACATAGTTGGATTCACTAAATTCAATAAATTGATCTCCTCTTGTCAGTATGGGCTACGCAGGGCAATGGACCCGAATGAAGGGCTTACAGCAAATTAACCCCTCCTTTATCCTTTTTATCCAATACATGTTAACACTCTGGTGTTTGCAGTCTGCAACAAGCACAAGCTATAGGAAGACCTTTAACCCTTTGTTTAGCAGAAAGTATAACTTTAACATGTACATACAGCTAGAGCTTTCGTTGTATCCAGCGATGAGGATAATGTTAGATTATCAATTCGTATTTGCATGATGCAGATTTATTTAAAGATAAGAGCAGGGATTCGTTGTTGACATCTTGTTTAATCGCAGACATTAAATAACCATAGACAGACTTGCATTTTCCCCCCAGAAGGACCAGACATTTTTTCTCCAGCAGTCTGGACCTTTCAAGTAGGACAGGCACAATGTATACAGGTTTTACTCTAGAGAGAGTGCTTATTGCAGGCTGCATATACTGAAACCTGAATCCATCACTATATAACTTCACCTAAAAACAAAA